CATGGGTCTTCGGTTCCCCCTGCATCCATTCCTTCGGGAATACCTCAGGTACGTGGGTTTGGTCCCCTGCCAACTGACACCCAACAGCCACTCATATGTGGCGGGCTTTCTGAACCTTTGCTGGTTCCGAGGGGTGACCCCCAGCCTGGATTTGTTCTTCCAGAGTTTCAACCTCTGCCGGGGGGGTCACGCGAATGTCGAGGGCTTCACGAACTTGCAGCAGGTGGCCCTGTTCAAGTTATTCACCGAGGCGCCTTCCTCGAACAAAGGCTGGAAGGAGCGATGGTGCTACGTCAGGCTAGCTGAGAGCCCCTTCCCGAGGGAGCTGCGTGATCGGTTTAGATGACATGAGAAAGTGAGGAGTGCCGCCCTCGAGAAGGAAGGGAGGATCCTGGCCAAGATCCCGGAGGGCCGAGATAAGAACATAGCCATCAAGGAGTGCATTCAGGAGGAGGATCTCTATACCCTCGGGTTCCGGCGGTATCGCTTCCTGGGGGAAACAGATGAAAAGTACCCGACGTTCGATAGAGCCTCCGGGGGTTTAGGAGGTAGCAGCCGAGGGCATCTTTATTTTCGTACTTAGCATATAGTTTCATTCTTTTTTGTACTTTCATGCCATTTATTGATGACCCGTCGGCCTAACCCTTTATTGTGTTGCAGGTATCCCGGTCTCTAAGATGAACGTCAGGGGACTCGCTGATCTGAAGAAGAAGTCCTCCAAGGTCCCGAAGGGGACGGATGCGGGCATCCAGAAGCCCGCCGGTGACTTCTTTAAGAAGTCCGAGGGGCCATCGGTGGTCCCGAGCGCTGATGCCGCCGCCGCTGTCAAGAGGAAGGCTGCGGGCAAGGCTCCCAAGGGGAAGAGGCCCAAAAAGGGAGATACTGGGAAGAAAGATCCTCCCGTGGTGATCATAGATGAGCACCCCGCCTCCGGGACGCATGTGGAGATGACGGTGGCTGAAGTGTCTATGGGTGTCCGGGAGCCACCCTCCGAGGTTTTGCAGGTTTCTCTCCCGAGGGGTCAGTCGTGATGAACTGCACGGTGGACCCGAGGGTGCTTCTGAGGGGCATGACCCCCGAGATTGACAGAGCCGCCCTCGGGGCTGATGATGACTTGGCCCTCGAGGACAAGATCCTCCGGTCTTCCCTCACTGTAAGTTTCTTCCTCACTACCGTTTTACCTTGCGCTAGGATATATTGTACGCTTTTCCTAACTCCTTTATAATTTACAGGCCTGCATTCCCTCGACGAACAGGCCCGGAGGATGGAGGAGTGGCGCCTGCACAAGGCTGAGCAGGACGCGAAGATGCGGGAGCTTGTCTCCCATAATTCTGATGCCATCAGGCAGATGGCTGCACTGGAGGAGAGCCTTCGACAGATGACGCTGCGGGCGGAGGCCGCAGACCGGGGCAAGGCCGAGGCTGAGAGGTCCGCAGCTGAAGCCCTCGAGAAGGCCGCCAAGGAGGCCGAGGCCGCCAAGGCGGATGCCGTTGCGAAGGAGCGAGAGGAGGCCACCTCCGGATTCTTGGCCGGGGGGTGGAAAGCCGAGGAGCACAAACAATGGCTGTCCTCAGTCGTGGAGTCCTCCGTCGATGAATGGTGCGACGGGCCCGGTGTGGAGTGGGTTTCCCGAAAGGGCAAACAATACTGTGATGGGGGTGAGTTTTTTACTCAGGCCCTTATCTACCGGAGGATGGCACGTCACATGAAGATTGATCCAAAAGACTTCGACCCGGCGGCATACGACCTTCCTCCCCTGCAGCCAGATATCCGCGTTCCTCTCCCCCCAGATGTCAAAAGGCCATACTTGGAAGATACTGAGGTGATGAAGGAGGTCGAGGGGGACGAAGCAGAGGCCGACACAGAGGTTACCTCAAAGCCCGTGGAAGAGGCTGCCACCGGGGCTGATAATATTTGATTTGTACTTAGCAAATTTTGAACAATTTTGTTGTAATGAATATTTGTATGCTCTCGGCCTCGGCCATTTTGTAATATACACTTTAACTTTTCCTTTCTTTTGATGAATGAATACCTGCCTTCGGGCTTTTGCATATAATTCGTTTTCCTTTGATTGTTTTTCTTTGAATGTATGTCCTCGTCTTTTCGGGATGTATGCCTTCGTCTTTCTTTGAATGTGTGTTAGGGGCACCGTGATTTGGGTCTGCCGTGCTTCCTGGGCCTCCATTAGAATAATAGGAGTCTATGAGCCGGGGGTTCCTGAGCCATATACTCCATCAATCATTTTAATTATTTTCATAAGAAAATTTCTTTATTTCATTAATATTTTTTTCCCACAAATCAGTAGAATCAACCAATCCAATCATTTCAGATAGAATTTCATAAATTTCAATCAATTCAATCAATTTTAATGTTATCAAACAGACTCTACGAATTATTTTTCCAAATAGACATTAATTTACGCCCCGATAGACATTGATTGTATGACCTTAAATAATTTTTTATCTGGAACAAGAACTTAAATACCGTAATTAATTATCAAAATGTGTTTTTTTCGAAAAGTCTCAATAAATACTCCAATAAGCTAATCAAAAAATCTGTTTGTACTCACTTTTGTACCCACCCCCTATTTTTCTTGTGCACATATGAAATATTTTAAGAACATTAAAGTATTTTATCTGTGTTTGTCCGTGTACATCGATAAAATAAAAGTGGATATTGAAATTTGCCCAACTTCTAATCGTTCTAAGCTAATAGGTACACCATACTGTTACTCTATTTGAGCTCGCCTGTCTGATGTCTGCCCAACTTCATAGTCGTTCTGCCCAAGATACACTCGTCCTTCGCAAAACCAAAATCAATGCTCTCAAAATCATACTCCGGTCTTGTTATTTATTAATGATCTCACTAACCCTACACCCCACCCCTGAGGGCCCCTCAACCTCGACCGGACGGTACGTCGGGAGGATGTAAATTGGATTATAATCTCAATCTGACAGATAGAGAATGAAGCTTTGTCCCCGTACTTGCAGAGGCACTATGCATTTTTAGCATAGTAACTCCTCATCGCAGTTGTCGGGTTTTAAATCCGAGACCTAACCCTTGTGGCACCCCCTTGCTACCAGTTGAGCTACGCCCACCGGTAAGGCATTTTTTTTATTAATGATCTCACTATCTTTACCATGGCACAATTCCAGAAAGTAAATATGTTTAAAATTTTCGAAATAGATGTGTTATGTTTTTATAAATAAGAGTAATATTGTAATATTTATTACTTGTTTCGCCTCATTTTGGTTGTCCTTTTCTTTTTGTATTATCCCAAAATGAATATCGTGTTTCTTTATTCAAATCATGACCACAATTTTTACTTATCAACTACTCCCTCCGTCCCTTAAAACTTTGCCATCTTTCCTTTTTGGGATGTCCCAAAAAACTTTGTCACTTTCCTTTTTAATCAATTATTTTGTGGTTTCTGTTATTTCTCTCTCTTCTACACAAACCTCAACCACACAATTTTTACTTTATTATTCTTCGTACCGGTCAACTTTGGCAAAGTTTTAAGGGACGGAGGTAGTACTTTATTAATAATCGTGCCAAATTGAAAGTGGACACCAAATATGGGATGGATGTATTATCACTTTGGAGCCATTAATTCCAATATGATACTCCCTCCTTATTTTAAAGAATGTTATTAGGTTTGCACATTATTTAAAAAGTAAAGAAGTATGAGTAATGAATAGTGTATAAAAAGTATGAGAGATCGTTTAAAAGTATGAAAGAGAAGAAAAGTAGAAAAAGTAAGCATATTTGAGTATTTTATAAAGGATAAACTTACCAAAAATGAAAGTGTAGCAAACTTTTAAATACATCCCAAAAAGAAAAGTGTAACAAACTTTACAATATGGAAGGAGTAGCATCTACTACAATTAATGACAATATTAGTCGATCATATCAGTAATGACTTTTATTTGAAAAGAAAGAATATAGAAACCCTATTTTAAAGTTCAAAACGTTTTCACTCTTATTTTACACAATGAGAGAATTCCCCAAATATGAGCAAAACATAGGCAAAATGCAAAAATAGGAGTACCATGTTTTGAATAGGAGTAACTTTAGTGTTTGGACAAGTATACCCCTACCCAAGCCCCAACAACTTTTAATTAAATGTTTAATTCATAATAAATTTGGAAAAAATTCAAAAAATCGTAGAAAAATAATTAAAAAATTTATAAAATATTAATAAAAAAATTAAATTTTTTATTTTTAAAAAAAATAATAAAAAATAGTAAAACTCCATAAAAAAAAAAAATATGGATGTCTTTCCCACCGCTTGTACTACCTCCCTGCACCACCACCTTCGAGCGGTGAAAAAAAATCCATTTTCCCTAAAAACTGCATTTTTTCTGAAAATGCAAAAAACATGGCATATTTCTCTTTGCGAATGCCAACATTTTCATTGTTTTCTGCCATAAATATGGCATTCGTAATGAACTTGGCATTTTTTTCCCTGGTGACTAGAGGTGGTGGTGCTGAGGCGGCAGAGGCGCAGTGAATTTTATTTTATTTCTTTGAGTTTTTTATTTTTTTAAAAAAAAATATATTTTTTATTTTTTGAAAAAAAATAAATTATTATCGAATAAGTCATAAATTAACTAGGTTAGGATTAAATAAGTCATATTTTAGAATTAACTAGGTTAGAGATATTAAGGGTACAAAATTAATGTTTACTCCTATTGAAGGAAGTTTTAAGCTTTACTCCTATTTGTACAATTATGTTTATATTTACTCCTATATTGGGCAATTTCTATTACACAATTTACTTACAAGTTACAATAATGCAATAATGACAACAATATTTTTTATTCCTAAAATATGAGTATTTATTAATTACTGACATGCCATTATTGTAGTATTATAATTTAAATTTGAGAATACTTTTGAAATTTGATAATTATTATTCGAGATAGAAAATAAAAAACAAAAACAGTTTCATTTTAAAATCAACAAACATTTCTACTCATATTTTAAAATATTCCCAATTTATTACAACAATGTCTGACAAAAGTGTTGCCCTTCATCAAAACAAGACGTTTATAAATGAAAGCCATAAAACAGCAGTGTTTCCATTAAAGAAGCTCTAAATAAAGAAACTAGACAAAACTTCAATTGATTACAGAAGCTCCAAATCTGTTTAATTAGAATACATGGAAACAGGAAATACTCAATATTTCCGGTAATTTTAAGATGCAGAAGCAAAATCCTTCGTTTTTCAAGATCTTAATAGGCGATTTTGCCTCTGCTCTGGTAAGTTCTCAAATTCTCCGTTGTACACAATCGATTCCGTGAATGCATGTGTCTAATTTGCCGTTTCTTGCAGCGTTTACCGCCGCTCTTTGTGGAGATATTTGGGGAAAAGCTGTCGCCGACGCTGTCACTCGTAGCGAACGCCGCCGCGGCGTCGGAGAAAAAATGGGCCGTAAAGCTTAAGAAGAGCGGCGAGCATTCCCTTTTTGGGGACGGATGGGATGTGTTTGTGAAGGATAACGATTTGGCGGCGGGGGATTTCGCAGTATTCTGGCTGATGGATAACTACTCTACTTTCCAAGTTCGACTCTACGACTACACTTGCTGCGAAAAACAACTATCATCTTCCCGATTCTCTCCTGGTATATACCTACAACCTACTCTGTCAGCAAATTCTACAAGTTTGAATCATTTTAATTTAATAAATGTTAAATCGTATGATAGATTTTTTATTCAAATGATCTTTTTTTGTAAGCTAATCTTTTTTTTAAATGTGCATTGTGTTTAGAATCTTAGATTGATCAAGTTTCTGTAGTGCACAAAGATTTTTATACTAACTTGTTGAGCTGTATATGCTTTTCAAAAGATTTTGCTGTAACAAAGGAATAGACATAGCTAATTCTATTAATTTGAATGAGTTTGTTATGTGTAATTATTGAAATGAATTTTGGGCATACAAAAATATGTATGGCGTTCGAAATAAATGTGCATGAGTGTAACATTATAAAATGATTACAATAAAATTTGTAATCTTGGTTAAGAAATCATAGACACTATTATATTTCTCATTACTAAATCTATTGCCAAGATTGGACTAGATTACTCTTGGTATAACTGGACCGGATCGGTTGGACTGAATTTGAATTTTTAATATAAAAAGTTTCTCTTTAAAAGTTGATTTTGCTAGCTAATTAATTTGTATATAGAAAGTTTTTTATTCTATAAATTTTTAAATAAATTTAAATTAAATTTTATGCTTAATATGTGTTAAATATTAATACTTTTTAGGTAAATTACATATTTAAAAATAATTATATGGTTTAATTAGGGTCTAATCGGTTGTGACCTTGTTATTTTGGGTTTTGGCTGGAAGTAGTAACTTCAGTTGTCTTGAATATAATTGAAAACTTTATGGCTCGTAACCTGTTGGGGTTGAATCTGAAGCAATCACTCTAGAGCTAAATTTGCTCAGTCCTGCTACTTAGAAGAATGTTAAACTGTTCTACTCATGCCATAAATTAGCAGGTGGAAAATCAACTAATCTTGATCGCAATGTGAGGGTGAAGAAAGGAGAGGAGACAGATGAATCTACTAAGTCAGTTGGCACTATGAAGTGGTGTAACAATCCAAGTTTCGTAGTTTCCCTTCCACCCCGCGATAAGAAAATGGTATGTATCTTTCTCTTGTGCGGCTACAAGTCCATGCCTTTTAGAGTATCTCATGACCCGTGTCTCTTTTGTAATTTTATTTTAAGAAAGGATGCATTCCATTGTTGAGGATCTTCTACAACCAGCCGAACCATTTGCTGGGGTATTAAACTAAGTGACTCACAATCTGGTCCATAGAGTTTGAAGTCTGTAACTAGTACTTTCAGAGTTACAGACACCACTTGCTGTGCAAAGTTGCCCACTTGCCCATAACGTAATTATCAGGAATTCAAACCATGTCCACCCTTATTATAAGGATTGAGTGCCTAGGGAGCCTGTGTTTGTGGATCATTTTGGAAGTACAGTAAATTTAAAAATCATTTTTCAAAGTAAAGCAAACTCAAATCTTCCCTAACTTAAACTTTGCAGTGGCCGCTCTAGAAAATTAGTCTGATATTTTGGATTTAAAAGAAAATGAGTTGAATTAATTAATTGTTTGAGTATAACATTTTAATGTCGTGTCATTAAAAAACATTTTAATGTCGTGTCATTAAAAAACATTTTAATGTCATTTAACCATATATGTCAACACAATTCTAAATTCTGTTATAATATCGGTGTGCAGGGGTCTAGCTTGTCTCAATGTCCAATCTCTAATTTCAATACCAAGCGGTCTGAGTCTTTAACTTGTTTGAAATAATCCAAAGTGACATGAATAATCCCAACTATTAGTGATCTGCATGAAATAATCCAAAGTATCAATTATCTCAAAATAATCCTAACTATTGAAAAAAATCTCAAAATACTCCAAGGACAATAAATAATACGGAGTACGTAAATGACTTATAATATTTTATTGTCCTTGGAGTATTTTGAGATTTTTTTACAATAGTTGGGATCATTTTGAGATAATTGATAATTTGGATTATTTCAAGCGGATCACTAATAGTTGTGATTATTCTTGTCCAGTTTTCCTTGAATTTTTCACTTCACTGTCAAATACGGAGTATAACCATAGTCGTTATGGAAACTGCACCACACCGAAACATACTTCCTGGCTGTTTCATTTCTTTTTTTGAACGCACAGATCATACCAAAAGGGTTCGTAGAAAAAATGGGAATTGCGGGGAAGAGATGCATCCCGCTTGAGAATGCGCAAGGAAAGCGCTGGGAGATCAAAATGCGTAATCAAGGTGATGAATTTGCAATCTATGGCGGGGAATGGGAAGATTTCCGAAAAGCCAACAGGCTGGGTAAGGGATATCTTTGTTCATTTGAACTGGTAAGGAGGTATGGTGATCAATTTCTTCAATTTCATTTGGAGAAGAAAGCGAGGGGAAGACCAGAAGGGACCAAAAAAAAAATCAATTAGAAAATACATGCTGCTGCATTTACCCTCGATGTTGCTAACTAGGGAGTAATTATGTTGTATGATTAGCTTAACATCACCCATCTATGGAATGACTATCAAGCAAGAGATGTGCTGGTGCCTTACTCTGTAGACAAACAAGTGTGTCAAAAGTGTACATCAAACTAGCGTGTACACCAAACATTTTTCATTTCATCAAATAATGTAATGTTTGAGTGTACTGTGTAATGCTTTGCAACAATATTACACAAAGTACTCAATTCTGAAATACCATTTATAAATTTTAACACTCCCTTTATTTCAAGGTTTAGTCGTTTAGATTCAGGGGCTTTACACTTTTATCGAAATGATGTGATTTGATATTTAGTAAAACAATGAAATAATATCAACCAAACCATACTTTCTTAGTTTCTTATCTGATTTTAAGGCTTGATTAATGAAAAAGTAATTTCTCACTATCAAAATTGTATGTAAAATTATTCTCTGTATTAGATGTTGAGAAGAAATACATTACTCTGGAAATTTATGTTGGGTTGAATTACAAAAGCTTAAGTTAAATATACAAACTTGATATATAAAATAATAGATTAAAAATGGATTTTATTGACTAATAAAACACCACCTATTAAACTGAGACAATTAATTTAAGACAGAAATAGTATCTATTATTTGTTTGAAATCATTTTTATTCCAAATTAGCCTTTTTTGGTTGAGTGTATGGATGCTTAGTTTGGTACAAGTTGCTAAGAAGTTGTGTTTAAAATTAGCCTTTTTTTTTGCTAAGAAGTTGTGTTTAGTACAATACGACAAGAAAAATATACTCCGTACTTTATCGGAAACTGGTAAATTCACCCGTGCGATGCATGTTCGGTAAATTTTGTTTCAATTTTTGTGTACACTAATTCAAATCACACTATCAATTCATGATCACATCTATCTCCATGGAATAGTGATATAGATCAAAGCAATAAACGAAATACACTTATAATATTATGGTTAAAAAGAGCGCACTAAGCATTATTTAAAAGATAAAAAACAACCAACAAATACGTAGAAATCATAACATTGTAAATATGCATTTCATGTAACCCTAAACATTGTTGAATACTTCTTCAATACAACATTTCGAGTCTTGTCAGTTGTTCCTTCATCTTCTAAAAAAATTCAAATTTTTAAAACAGAACAATTGGTCACCCTTGATACCGAGATTTTGCCACCTCGGGGTAAATACAGTTTTTTCAACAACAACCCAACACGGGACAAAGATTGACATTGAATTTTATTTATAGTCATAACATATGAAGTCATAAGAGGATATTGTCGCCTCTGAAATTTGAAAGGCAAGCTGGCATCAGATGGGGTCATGGAAAATCTAGGAATTAATACTTTTTGTCCAGCACTCACACCTGTTAAAATCTTCCCCTCCAAAACATGATCACCGAGCCTCGTTAGAATAAGCCGAGTCCCGTTACACAACCTCAATGAATGATCAATATTTCGCAAAAGCATCACCGGAGTCCCTACCTTTAACGTTAACTCATGATTCGATACATCGGATAATTTTATATATTCAAGAACTCCGATGTGTATTTTTCCTTTCACAAAAACTATATCAGATTTAATAATTTTTTATTATCTTCCCATTGCTATCCATATTTCATATAAAAAATTGAAAAAAAAAATCTTTTTTTTCTTAAATCTATTTTTGGCCGGATTGTTTTTTTAATTTTACATATTCAACATTGGTATCATATGAAAGATCATAAAAAATAAAAAATATTGATATAACTTTTGAAAAAATTGAATCAAAAATGAAAAAATTATAATAATTGAAAAGGTTTAAACAATTGTCATGCCATGTGGCAGCCCAATAGGGTGGAGGTGATGTTCAATGTCAAAAGATGGAGTGAACAAAATTGTTCTCCTCTTCGGCCACGCCTCTTCAATCAGCCCCACCAACATTCCACCCAAAACACTTCTTCAATCCTTCATTTCCTCCAAGCAAAAGACAATTGGCCTCAACCTCTCTCCAACCAAGTTCAACAATATTTCACTCCAAACACTTCTTCAATCAACGGTCGGTCAAAAGTCAGTCACGCATCCCCCCTTTCTACCGATACTTCGCCAACATTTCTGGAGTCAGTCATGAATCAAGCTCTTATAAGCCTCCTCCGTCTCGTATGCCTCATCCGCCTCATCCTCCGCTTAGACTTATTAAACGGTAAGAACACACTCCCTCTACTAGACACAATCATCACCTATTAAACCTTTATCTTAAAATCATTCAATCGGACTTCTGTACAAATTAGCACACTTACAACCCACAGATCTAGCAGATTTGCTTTTATTACTACCATAATACTTAAAGATATTTTATGAAAATGATATTTGATTATACATAGCGTTATATCATATACTTTTTTTGGCAAAATGATTTCATATACAAAAAAAACATAATATGTTTTTGAAAAAAATATTTGAAAAAATTAATAAGACACAATCACGCTCAAAATATTTCTATAATAGATCTACGTATATGCATTTAATAATAATAGTTACTTCAATTTTGAAAATAAAGTATCTGCATGTCAAATTACATTCGATGTGAGGATTTTTTAAATCTATTTCTAAAAAAAATATTTTTAAATAATATTACTTGGATTTGAACAACATATGAAATATATGCCATTTTTTTTGTTAAAAATGCACACAGAAACAAATTATTATCATGCATTTTTCTCGAATTTCAACTTTTTAAATGAACATTAATTGTGTGGTTTTAAAATATTTGGAAAACAATTAATGAAGAAAATATTGACTTCTGGATTTTTTTTCAAGTCTATACTCTATACTTGCTTGCAAATATATGTCAAAAATAATTAATATTTTTTTTTTGCAAATATGTCCTGTGGCATCAATGTTAATCCACCAGTCACACGTGCTGCGTCCGACCCTCATGGCCCCATTAAACCACCCCACCGACCTAGACTTAAATATCAAGATTCATTAATTACTCTGACCAAACCATCCAAACTGAAGAATTATAACCCAACCACATAAACAATAAATCATTGAACCCTATCCTTGATGTGCAGGATCCCATGAACGATAGACCTCGTACCAACCATATTGAAGGTGTGTGTGTGTGTGTGTATATATATATATATATTGACTTTTTTTTGCTTTGTGGGCTTGATGATCGAGTGAATGGGAGAAATGTGTTATTGAATCCGCTTTTATAGCTGAATGTAAATAGGCATACATTGGGTATAGCCCTCACCCATGATCTATTTTTTATGAACTCTCAACAAAAAATATCTTGGAATAGTGGGAATGAGATACATTAAATCTCAATCACTATTCTCACTACCCAAATTTACCAATAGGAATAAATCTAGATAAATAACCCAATGACTCATTGATGTTGATGTTTTTGAGAGGGAACACTATTCCTTGAAAATCTTTTACTTTTATATATTATTAATAGATATTTCATTTAAAAATCGTTACATACTCATCTTACTGTTTTGCCTGACTTATCTTCTTTTAGGATACCGCAAACTTTACTTTTGATCAGTAAAGTTTTCTATAGTTAAAACCCTACTTTTACTACTCCGTATTATACATCGACTTTTCGCCAAATTCTGTTTTATGAATAATTATGATCTATAAATGCAATCATTTGATGTAATAATAAATATATTTGGAGTTAAACTTTTTTGTTCTTACTTCAGATATTTAAAAAATGAAATTTGAAAAAAATAATCATGAGATCTTAATTTTAGCATTTGGATCTACTTAAAAAAAATTAGATCTGAAAATCACTAGCCGGTGGAACTTCATATTTTTAATTTTATATACGTGATACTGGAGTTATATGAAAGATCATAAAAAGTTATGAATTTTAATTTATATTTTTATAAAAATTGGACTACAAATAAAATAGCTATAAGAGTTTAAAGAAATTCAGCTTTTTATTTTGAATAAATTCCCTAAATAGGAGTAAAAAAGTTTTAAAATTTCAAAATAGGATATCATGTTTTTTATTCCCTAAATAGGAGTAAATTTCTGTCAAATTTGACATTACTAGGCTTTTAATAAACATGTCATTTTTTCCCAAACTTGGCAGATTATTCCTATTCAAAGAATAAAAAACATGATACTCCTATTTTGAAATTTCAAAGCGTTTTTACTCCTATTTGGGGCAATTTCTATTTTATTTTTGGCTGGCACCTGCGTCTTTTCCTTCCTCGCCCAGCAGATGCGCCCAGGTGCTCTCACCCTCCACGGGTGAACTTTGGTCCTCAACTCCTCATAAATACTAGTACATTTTCTGGCTTGGATTGGAGCACATTTAGGGAGAATATTTCAAATTTCGAGTTTACATTCCTTGAGTTACGGACAACCTTACGAAAAAATGGCATATATTTCATATGTTGTTTAAATTCCTTGAGTTTACATTTTTTTACGGACAACCTTATGAAAGTTAACTATTTGTTCTAGCACTTTATTTTTCTCAAGTTTGTCAACTTTTCAACTACCCAGTAGAACTTTTATCAAAATCATTGCGAATATTTTTATTATTATTATTTTTTGGAAGGAAATATGTTATCTTTAATTCTTAACTTCTTTTTCTTGCATTTATACTTATTGCATAAATTGTATCCTCTATTCCAAATTAATTTGCAAAATAAAATTCTTTATTTTCATTGTCTCAAAATGATTTTTCACTTTCGAGACCGTTTACTTGTGACTTTATGAGTATTCTGACTTAACCAGTAAGCTATATAGTTGTGTTTGCTTGGGACTTAATTATAAAAAGGATTTATTCGTTCAGACGTTTTGTGACTTATTCGTTCGGCGTAATTTTTACGATCCTTACGCTTCAGACGTCTCGTTCGAAGAGGAGTCCCTATTATAACCCTTGCTTCCCCTCTAAACATTTCTTCTAACAGATATATTCCCCTCTCGAGACCATCACCGACAACACCAGGCTATAAGGAAACCGGCGTGCTTATCCGAACGGAGCTAAGCGGCGAAGAAAGCTCTCATCCCCTTCCACTCGATCAACATTTCCTCTCATTGCATATGGGTTTAATTTTATTGGTTTCTATTTTATATTCTAGAGTTTCTTATTCTCCATCTCATTGTTCACTTCTTGCAAAATTGAGTGTCAATTTTCTTGTAAATTCATTTCATTTTTGTGTTTTGATAAATTATCTACAATTTCACTCAAAAAAAACCTCATGTTCAAATGTTCAATAGTCTATGATGGTTGCCTTATAAACGAATTTTTGGTTAGTTGTTCTTGAGATTTATATATATTCAGTTTCATATTCTTTAGCACAGCCCTAACTTTAAAAATTCAAGCACATTGTAGCCATTT